TAACCTAGACCATCTTTCTTTTGACCTCATTAAACAGCAGCCGTTAGAGTTGTAAAGAGAGAAAACAAGATCATCAGTCACATGGTTTGAAAGAGATCACATTATTCCTAGCTAGTATATTTATAGTGTCTGATTTGGTGGCATTGCAGCTAGCTCGAGATGCAACTCATGCTTCAATAAGTCTTTGAAATGTTGACCATCTTTAAGGTATATTGGTTGAAGTGTTCAGGTTTATTTGTTTTAAATGTTGTTGGGTTAGTTTCTACGTTAGTTTGTCATAATTTGTTTACGCTTTCAGACTTTGGGCTTCCAATGGTTTTTTCATTTCATTACTTAAATAAATTGATTTTTTTATTTTAAAAAAAATCTAATTATAGTGTGTCTTTGTTTATAATATATTTGTAATTTATAATGTAGCTTTATATATGTGTGTGTGGGTGTCACATTGACGTCAATATTCTTTTTTTTTTAATCTCAACAATTGAACGGTCACAATACATTCATATACCTCCGCACACTGATCGAACATTAGTTAGAACTTTTGAAACTCGTGGATGAGAAAAAGGTTGTCAAGAGCTTATAGTTTAAATTGACACCCTATATTTTCTTTTATGATGAAAGTTGTGAATTTTATATCCCATATTGTCAAACAGGGATAAGCATTAATTAATTATAAGGATAAAATTGATAAATAATCATTAATTACGCTTCAAATGGTTTCTATTTTAAATCCAGCCATTTTCCTAGAAGCAACTTATACTGTGAATTAAAAAGAGTTGCTTGAAATGAACTTTATTTCCACACGTTATGTTTATTACACGAGTGATACCTCGAAACCAAGCCAATAAGCTAGATATATGAAGAAATCCAGTCCATGCTCCATGCCAGTGGAAGTTTATTAATAATTGTTATTGCGTCTGGTAGGCACACGGATAAATTATCTGTAACAGATTGGGGTCCTGATGGCTGCTTTAATTACTACTCGCGGACAGGAAGAGAAAGTTTTTTGTTTTGTTTTATTTATAAGTCACTTCATTAAATTTTTATCCTGAATGTACTATATTATCTTTTATTTATTATAGTATGGATAGTTATTTTTTTTTAAAGCTGTATATATTAAACAGGAGTAAAGTTGAAAAATTGCTATATTTTAATGGAGAGTTAATATAATTTAAGATTTTTCTTGATTTGTGTGAAACATGTTAGAAGTGCCTTATAAATAGGACAAGAGGAGTACTATTATTCCTAATTGTGGAGTTCACTTCAACCCCCCGGCTTCCATTTTATAAAAGATTCACATAATGAAATTACGTAGTTTAAAAGGGGTTAACATTAATTAACAGTGATAAATATGTAATATATGTCAAATATAGTGAGAAAAATATAAAAGAACGTCTGAAAAAAGATAATGTAATAACTAATTAAGAGTAGAATTATTTTTAAAAAATCAATATTCAGATAATCTTGAACTAAATCTTATTAAAAAAAATCTGATCGGGCTGGAAAAATAAAAAAGAATCTGATCAGTTTTAAAAATTTGAATCTCGTAAGACAAAAAATCGGAGGGAGTGGCTTTTTACACTGTAATGGCTAGCAAACCCTTCCGCTCGACGCGTAACCTATATATTTCGTGACTTTGATGAAATGGATAAATATCTATTGAGAATAACATTTTATTTTTCACATGTATTTGCTATGGCGTCGTTAAACTGCTTTATTTACAGTATCAAATATGTTAGCAGGTTTGAATCTGGAAAATGTTTATATTTGGCGGCATTTTTTGGTTTAATATCCAATTAAATTATATTCACAACATATCGCATCAACTTTTTGTATCCTGCTTTACATTAGGACGCCAATTTGTAGTTTTGTATTACATGATTAGCGGTACCCGTCCCCACCGTCTCGTACCGGTCCTGATTATTTTGAGACAAGACCAAATAATAATTGGGATGAAACGCAGGACGAGGTCATCTCATCTAGAATATTTATTTATTTATTTATTTTTAAAAATTTACTTAATCAATTAATATTAGTGCTTGTTTTTTAGTGATTTTTTATGTCAAAGTCTCACTTGTAATTTGAGATTTTTGCATAATAGTTTTTTTTAAGGATTTTTATCTCTCAAAAACTCAATGAAAATTAAAAACACAACATAAAGAAAAGAGTAAAATACACTAAAAGCCTCTCTGTTTTACTTAAATTAGAAAAATTTCTCATTTATTTTGAAAAAATATATATATAACCTTTATTAAAAGTAAAATGTATGTTACACAAACTTCTCTTATATATTTAAGATTTTATTTCTATCTATCAAATTGTTAGTTGACTGTTTGACTTTTAAATTTTTATTTTAACTAAAATACCCCTCCGTGACATGAAAGTCCTTCAACATTTATATTTGTAAAAAAAAGTAATTGTTCATACAACAAAAAAATAATTTTAATGCATATATTTTCAAAATTTTTAATATATAATAAAATTTATTAATTTTTATTATATTTAAAATTTTATGATTTTTATTTTTCCATCTCAATATTGAAACTTATTTATTTAGGTTTTTTTTAAATGGCTACGCAATATATTAAATACATATTTTGTCCATTGTATAATATAAATTATCTAAGTTTGAGAGATTATAGAAATTATTTGAATTCATAATTTAAAATTTTTAAATAGAAATTTTGTTTGAAATATTTATAACTTATTTAGTCAGTTATACATTTATTTTAAAAATTAATTAAATTTTTATTCAAGTTTTTTATGTCTACATTAACTAAATTATTTAATTTTCTATCCCAATATTATAAAAATATTAAAAATTTATTTTTAAAAATAAAAAGAATTAAGAAAAAGGAAAAGATTTAAATTCTTCAAAACTTTTTAACTAAAATTTAGGGATTTGATATTGTGAAGGGTAAATTAGTAAATAAAAATAGTTTTAATATAAATTTTAATTTAAAGATATCTTTTTAGAATATTCTTAATGAAGCTAGTGGTTTGAACTTAAGCATATGTTTTCAAAATTTAAAAAAAAAAGTCTGTGTAATCAGAGCAAAATGCAAGAAATATCAAAGTATTTTACTTTAAACAAACTATAAATTCTAGCCCAATTTGCAATGGTTTAAAAAAAGCTAAAATATATATTTGGTCTTTTAACTTTATGTAAATTTTCAATTTGGTTCCTTAACTTTATTTTTAGTCTTTTAATCCTAAAATTGTTAGTCTTAAATGATGATTTTTTGTAACAATCAGTTGTTTTGAAAATTAAACTTAATATTATAGCATTTAGTAATGTTTTATTAATATTAAAGATCTCAATATTATCGGTTTTTTTTATTGGTTCTAAGGTTAAATGTCTAAAAATTTATTTTTTTTAAATTAAGGGACCAAATGAAACTTTATGTAAAGTTAAACAATAAAAGATATACTTTAGCTTAAAAAAATGATGGGATGAATTTGGCCCTTCCTGTCCCATCTCGTGAATATTCCTAATTCTTAGTTCTAGTAGTTTCCAAAACATCATGGAACTAAACCATGAGATTATGACAGCATAGCCCTCACGATTCGAACAATCCGTTAGTGAGGGTGAACATGCATGGGTACAGTTAGATTAAATTATTTTGTCTAAAACGTAAATAGCTCCCAGGAAATTTATGATTAAGTATTTAAATTAGTTAACAATTATTCCTTCACTTTACCTCTCATATTTTTCTTTTTCTTCCAAAATAATTTACGTAACTTAGAAATTAATATATAATTTAATGCTATACACAAATATTTTAGTAAAATCGGATCACATTTGTTATAATTAACTTATTTATTCAACTTTCTTGATTTGTCCAAGTTAATTGACTCTTCTATTAAGAAATAAAGGTAGTATATCGAAAGATCTTAATAATCTTTCACAAAGAAAAGAAATTACCATCAAATTTTAAAACCTTACCTATAATAAAATAGGACAGTTATTATCACATTTCACAAGAGTCAATATCAATATAAAGTATAAAATTTACATCAACCCACAATATTTACGAATTATGAATACACCGTTTATCATGCATGAAAAGTTTACTACTTAATTATTTTGCATGAAAAGTATGCTATTTAATTATTACTAAAGACACTTAAAATGAATTAAAATGGTATTTTTTATTTTTATAGTAATTCCATTAAATTTGATAATTTTTTTAATTATTAATAAGCATGTCACAGATGTTTTTAATGTAATTTTTATTTGGATATTTAAATGTCACTTTTCTGCATATTTAACATACTTCTATTGCTATTAATTAAAAAGTAGTTTTGTCTATGATTAATTGAGTATAAGAGGTAGTATTTTTTACTTAAAAAATACTAAGTTAAAGTACAAATTTATTCTAAAAGTTTTTATTCAGAAGCGTTAAGCGTATAGAAATTTTTACTTTTAGTACAAATTTGCTGTAAAAGTTTAAAATCGTAGTAATTTTATCATTTATTGGTAAAATACTCACATTAATCATTAAAATAGTAATATTAATCATTAACATTTTTAACAATAGGAGCAAAATTATTACAATTTAAACTTTCTGGACAAATTTATCTAAAAAAATAATTTCAGATGTCAAGCGTTTTAAGTAAAAATTTTCAGAGTAATTTTGTAACTTAATCCAAAAATATTTTTTATTTCGTTGTCTTTTTTTGTATTTTAGGGATCTAATTCTAAGGAGCCAAGTTCCTTGCAGATGAGAAAGGTTGAATGCTTTAATGGCAAAATAATAGGCAGAAGGAATGAATTCTCATGAAAGAAAATCTCCAATCTTGGCATCACTCTTATAATGGGAAACCCATTTACTATAATCCCAATCTCACCGCTTTCCAATCCTGCCACACACGGGATAAACCTCTCAACTTTACATTCAAAATCCCAGAAACATAAAAGGGCTCTCCTTTTTCCTGTCGATATCATGCGATTTTCTTGGCCGCCAAACAGAAATAGCATGTTTCAGATCAAACGGCAGCGTATGAATCATTTAAAAAACCATGAAGGGCATGTATCAGACGTGACAGAGAAGTAGAGACGCAACGTTTGGTTTTGGAAAACTGGCTGTTTGGTATACAATTTAAGGATATTAATTAGATTGAACCGTCCATTTATTGGTACTCGAATTCATTTTCTCTGGGGGACTGTAAGTTTAATCTGAGTCTTGCTGAAGGGAGATTCATCGGCATGTCGAGTGATCCATCGATGAACAGCCAGCGCTAGTTTGAGGTAATCTGTCATGAGGCACTACTCTGCTTTCGACGTTGTCTTTTCCTTTCAGGGCCTGTTTATAGATGACTGATTTGAATATCTAGGAGCACAAAGGATGGTATAACCATCGAAGCCTGTTGATTTGAGATTTCGTTCACTAGAAGATTCAGAATCAAATAAAAATGCAACATAAAATGAAATCGAATGTTGATGGGAAATATGAAACAGTCTGTCTCACTGGTCTGCCCATGTAACCCTTTCAAGACTAGACAGATAACTCCCCTAGACTTTTAAATTTGTGCAGATAAGAGTTTTGTTACGAGGGAAATTGATAATAAGTTGTTGGAAGAAGCTGGAATCACAGGAATTTCATGGGCAGTGAAGAATCAGGAAGTCAAAAGCACAAGAGGAATAAGAGTTTTGTGATAAGAGAGGTTCCAATACAGCGGGCGAAGATTAATAATGATGCAGAATGGAGCAGAGGGAAGAGCTTCTGTGAGATGGAGAAGGCGATGATGAGTGACTATGATACCCCTGAGCTGGTGGTTTTCCTTCAGGAGGACAGAGGAGCGTCAGCAAAAGACAAGTGTGCGATGGGAAACTGTGAATGCTATGAGGAAACGGCGGAGACATTGTCTTGCTCCTCTGCTTCGAAAGTGTCAGACTCCACATGTCGGAATCCTCGCACCAACAAGTGTGGTTTCAGAAACTCGACGATGATGGTGGAAGGTGACCACCCCACTGAGGTGAGACATCTTAATCTAAGGCTTGGACATTTTATTTGATCGCATCCAATGGTAAATGGTTGATGTGCTTCGAGAATGATCTTTTCGTGAATCATGATGATTCTGTTTAGCCCGTGAAAACGTGCTTAAACAGAGAACTAGGAGAATCAAGTCAAAGAAAAAACTACGGTCTTTCCTGCGTTCCCTGCTGATAGTGTTGGTCCACCAACATTTCAATTGCTAGGGGATTTCTGCCTTGTAAACTAATTTAGGGATTCAGTTGCAATCAAGTTAAAATTTAGGAACTGAGTTATGAATGAATCAAAATTATTATAACCACATAAAAGATTAATTTTTCTTGCAATAACATTTATATTTGATACTCTTTATATTAATTTTTTAAACGGATCAAAATCATCCACTGTTTTTTTTTTTTCAAAAGACAAAATGGTACATAACATTATTAAACCCTAGTAACGTTGACATAACCTTTATAACTTTTAAAATGTGTGCCGAATGCGATGTTGTGGGGTAAGTGTAATGTGCAGGGCAGTGAGAAAGAAGAGGAGGTTGTGAGATTATTCGACAAGAAGCAGGAGGAGTGGTGTTCGTGCGGCATAGGAACATCAATAAGGTGTGGCAGCGTGTCTGCGTCTCACGGGTCCAGTGACAGCATGAGCAGCACCCACTCCTTTACTTTTCCCATGTAATTGCTCACTCTGCTTCCTCTGTTCTTTTGTTGCCTTCAAGTGCTTCCGTTTGATGATAGGGATGGCGCAGATTGCAGAGAGAATGGAGCGGAAGCCCCGTGAGGATGGCGGAGCCTGACGCTGCCTCGGCGTCAAGAAGGCTTCGATGGCGGAAGATTCTGTGTCCCTGCTGCAAATGTTGATGAATAAAAGGACTTAAAATTGAGTATGAAGAAATAGGTGAGGATGCAAGGCAGAAGGCAAATGAGCCATTCTATAAATGCTGCTATATAATTAACACCATATTATCGAGTCCTTTGTTTTTGATGGAGATATATGGCAGCTTTGGTTGCTGGCAGTTTCCCCAGTTATCTTCAGATTCAGTTCTAGCCCGACCATAATCACCCTATACCCTTGTCATCATTCATATTTTTATCTGTGTTGCTCTTGCCAACAACCCCTGCTCATCACCATAAATCCAACGAAACCCTATTCCCTATTCGAGATCAACATTTTTGAGGGAAACCACTTGCCCTGTTGCCATTTATGCCACATCCTATCCTTAACATAGTAATCAGGATTTAATTTGCTCTTAAATATAAGATTTTAATTAATATTGTTTTTTACGTTTATTTATTTTTCATCAAAGCTGTCTTATGGTAATTACACATGTTGAAGAATTTTTATACTCATATACATGATTAATAAGAATATTTTTAAAAAAACAATATTTATTTATTATGAATAATGAATTTAATTATTTTTTTAATATTTATAAATTAGTTGTTTAACTTTTATACGGAGTATGGGGGGCAGCATCAACAAGGCATCTGGTCCTATATTGACAAACACCAATTAAAACGAATAGAGATGATAAACTTTTCAATTGAATTTTTTTTTTTAAATGAAAAACATTGAAGCACTCCAGCGGATTGTTTACATCAGGCAACTTTTAGAAGGAAGTCATAGTTATCATCTTTTTGTGCAATATTTAATGAACTATTCCAAGAAAAAGACATCAACACCACAATCCATTGTGATGAAAAATAATGGAGGTTAAAAAAACTTTTTGGGTGGTGGTGAGTTAGTTAAAAAAGAATTATATACTAGCGCAGACAACAAGAGGAGGGAAAGAAGATGGGGTAGGGCGGGGGGCGTGCACGTGGAGAAGGGAGCCCACAACAGCGGCCACGGCGTCATAAATCAGCGTCCCACCGTTCCGTTACGCACTGTCGGGCTGTTCCATGGAATTGGAATCCCCATTCCCTACCCCAATCACTCCAACGACTGCCCTACCGCCACCTGACCTTCATCATGGCCATGGCGCATGCCTCTCTTCCCCAGTCCCGGCCCCACCTTCCTTCTCACATCACCCCCCTTGGCATCATTATTCCGCTTCTTCTTCACGTGCCTCTTCCCCTAATCCTTCCTTATCTCCTAATCCCCTTCCTCCGTCCATTCACCTCCACCTACCCACCCACCCACACACAAAATATCAATTCGCTATTCATACTTGCCACTACTGCATTACCATTCATTCAAACCCTTCCCTTCGCTCAGCCATATGCCCACGTCATCCTTCATATCACTTCCTACTTCCTGTGTTCTTCCCTTTCTACTTTTATCGATCCACCCTCCAACGCAACCCAAGACATTCCAGTCACAGACGCAACATATCAGAGCTATATACCAACTTATATAAAAGATTCCACATACACATCTCTCACACCCTTTCCTCATTTCAAACTCGCAACTCATAACACCCCTTCACATTACAATAACCCCAAAAAAAAAAATACAAACCAAAAAATAAAATAAAATATACATCGGGTGATTCGCTAACTGTAGGATTTCTTCCCCCCGCTTTAGTTTTTCCATTTCAGATTTCCTCGTGTTTTATGGATTAAGATCATAATGAACCAAAAAAGAAGTGATGAAAGTGAAAGATTCATTTCCGGCTTCCCTTTCCTTGTGTGTGTTTCGACCTTCAGGGTAGCTGAAAAAGACTCGAATTGTCTTCATTCCACTGATTGTGACTCCACAAACCCTGATCGACGGTGTTCCCAACATCGAAAAAACTTTGATGATCCGTGCTCCCCTGCCAATCCCCAGGCACCGTCTGCTCCATCAACGATCCAGTCGTCATCGTCCTCATCTCCGGCCACTTCAACTCCTGCTGACAACGGCCGCTCGTGTTCATCCCCTTATGCCACTGGCTGCACAGCTGAAACGAAGACGCGTCGGTGATATTACCGTAGCCGAACGCCAGGGTCTCGTTGGTGGGTGTGATCAGGCTCGTCAAGTTCTCTATCTCCGAGAAAATCCCGAAGTCTCCTCCTTGTTCAGTGACGCCTGGTTCCGAGCTAGGCTTCGAATCAGAATGGACGACGGGATTCGAATCCTGAAGATTGTCAAACAAGTTATTGGACGTCGAGTTGGATGAAGGAGCTGAAACCGCTTCTGTGGTGACGGCGGCGGCGACAGCGGTAAGACTGGAGTTTTCACTGCTGGAATGAGAGTTGGACGTCTTACCCTCGCGCTCCGGTAGCGATGATGACGGGGCCGGCGGTGGTGCTTTTGTCGCGGTGGCGGAGGAAGTTTCTGAGGAAGAATTCTTGGGCTTGGAGCGCTTCGCTTTCCGACAACCGCCGCCGACGGGGACGTTGCGGAGGACGCCGCCCTTGGTCCAGTACCTACGGCAGCCCTTGCAGAAATGGCGCGGCTGAGAGAGGTTGTAGTTGTTGTAGTAGCAGAACTTGGTGTTGAGGGAGTCACACCTCGGGCACTTCAAGGCCTGGTGGTCCTGGCTGTCGTTGTTGCGAGGATGGTGGTGAGGTCTGAGCCTCCTGTTTCCAGCAGCACCCCCGGCGCCAAAAAATCTACCTCCGGCGACGGAATGCATTTCCTGCATTTCGCTCAAAACCAACCCTGGCTCCATGCCTGATGCCTCCGGTGGTGGGATGTCAGAATCCAAGAATCGAGGGGGAACGATTTAAAAATTGTTGCCTTGAAAGTCGGGAGGGTAAATCTCAGGCTAAATACGCGGGAAAATGTTGCTAATGTTGCCGACTTAGAAGAAAGGCAGATTTTGTGGCAGTGATACGGCAGTGTGAAAAAACAGCACAAAATCAGGCAGGCGAGGGAGAGAGCCGCAGAGAGAGAGAGAGAGAGAGAGAGAGAGAGAGATTGGTTCCCAGGTCTGACAAATATCCCTTCAGCTAGGCTATGCACTGTACGCTGATATCTTCCACTATTTCTGATTTCTGATAGTATTAGTCACGGAATGACCAAAACAACCCTACAAGGAAGTGAAAACTACAGAGAAGCGAGAGGTTTGTGGAGGTACGAAAATGCCCCTAGTGGTGGCTGGGATCAACAGTCATAGCCTCGTACGAATGTTGGAGTTGACGAGGGAGTAGTGGGAGCCGTGGGATGAGGGGGCCACGTGGACGGAGACAAAGGGAGGAGGAGTATCATTCGCAGAACCGGGTGGTGGCCATGTCGGCCACCTCACATATTCTAGAGAAAAATTACGGTCCTAGTCTCCTAGACCCTCACTCCAATGTTTACGCTGAAACACTAGTAGCATCAAACTTGCAATTATTTCAAAGAACAAATGCGTTTTTCTTTTTTTATTTTTGTCCTCTATTTAAATATTATTCCTCCGATCTTTAATATAAGATCCATTTAACTAATTTGATTAGATTAAAAAAGTTAGGTAAGTTAGTTAATTATTAAAAAAAAGTGACATATTTTTTCTAAAACACCATAATCATCTTTCTTAATACTCCCTCTTCCTCTTCTATTTGATTATAGTTGAAGGAGTATCTATAGGGGTAATTTAGAGAAAATTGATAAATATGATAAATGGGTCTTATATTTAGGACCAAAACCAACTCAAGAATTGGGTCCTATATTAAGGACCAGAGGAGTAATTGCTTAGAAATTAAACAAGTACTAATTTTATGTAGAATATATTTTTTAAAAATAAATATTATTAATTTATTGATTAGTATACCTAAAAAAAACTTGTACTAGAATTTATATTTAGAAAAAAATATGAAAATTCAAAATTAAGACTTATAGTTAAGGGAAGAGAAAGTGTATCTTAAATTTAAAGTTGTAAACATAATATCTTCAAAAAATTTAAGAACGATATATCGTTTACTTACCAGATTTTGTCAAGGAGAACGGAGAGTCGTCCTATATTCTTATAGTCGTATTGCTCCGCTACTCGCATTTGGGTTCGTTGGGTGTCGGTAACGGGAGGGAAGAGGCACGCACTCCTTATACGCACACGTATTAGCATGCTGCCTCTTATTTTTAATATAAAAATCAATTAACTAATTTAAATATATTAAAAAGGAGAAAATGTATCTCTAGTTTCTTTTTTTTTTTTTTTTGATAAACTAGAACTACAAAAGAAAGGCTACACTACAACTTGGTGCCCGATAATGGCGTCAATAGTATCCCTGCTCATGATTTGCAAACCCATGGCTCCATTGAGAGCTAATTTGGCGAGAGTATCCGCTTTTGTATTCTCAGTTCTGCTTATTACTTGGAAGCTACATTCCCAGTTCCATTTCATCATTTCTTGGACCTCCCGGATGCTTTGCCAGTCCTCATGCAGGATGTTGTCTCCTTTAAGGAATGTCTCAATAACCTCAGAAGAATCACAGCGCAAGACTACTTTCCGAAATCCCAAGTCCCAGGCATGTTTCATTCCCATCAAGCATGCCCAGATTTCAGCCGTAACATGGTCTCCATGGTCCAACTTTAGCATGAAGCCTTCACAGATTCCTACATTAACTCGCTTGGTGATGCCACCACACGCCACTTTGCCCGTCCGTGCCCAGAATGCACCATCAACCTCTAGTTTCTTAGGTCCTGCTTATCTTTTCCAAAATTAGTTAAATTAATTGTTTATAATAATAGATATTATTTTTTTTAAAATACTCTTACTAATTAAATGTTATTTAATGAAGCATTTAACATATACAACTAATATAAAAATAATTTGAAAAAAATAGATAAATATGAGAGATAAAATAAATTAAAATTTTATATTTAAAATTAAATAAATTTTTATGTTTAAGTGTTATAAGTAGTACATGTTTGTCAGTGTTATGTTGTTTATGTAGATGTGTGTAGTAATGGAAGGAATTTTGATTTAAATTGATTGATCACGTGCAATTTCAGAAATAATTGATTCATTAATGAGAAAATTACAAAACTTTGTACTCAAGTTGACTCAGCTCACAACTTTCAGAGTTTAAGGACAATAATTGGCCTCCGGTCCAAAAAAAAAAAAAGGACAATAATTGGCCACATGAACTACACTTTGCTTTATAAAAAGTCAAAAACTATATTTGACCGACTCATAATAACGATGAGAAACAAATCTCACACCAGACAGGCTAGTATTCACACACACATATAACTCATGAATAACAAATCAGCGCACAGAGAAGATATACAACTCAATCATACATATGAATGAGCGTGCCATATCAAATTTTAGACCCCATGAAGAAGTATAGAACAATGCCCACTAAAATATATTAGAAATAATGCTACCTCAAGTCATAATTATAAGAACTAGTTAACTAATTTGAAGATATTAAAGAAATAAGTTAACTTAGTTATTTGTAATAAATTTGTGTTATCTTGCTTAGAATATCCTTACTAATCAAGTATATTGGTTATAACTGCTATTATTAGAAAGACTACCTTGGAAAAAATACATAAATATGAGAAACAATATAGATTGAGGTATTATATTTAGAACTAAAATAAAAGTCAAATAAGGTCTTATATTAAGAACCGGAGGTAGTACAATTCATACTTAAATTTAATTTGTGCAAATGTTTACGGCAGTGTGTGCTAATCCACGACCGACGGCGAGGATGCATGTTGCATGGAGCGAAAGTCACTGTCCAGCTGACCCGGCAGTGAGAGAAACGCATAGATTTTGTCTGCTGGATCTCTTGTTTATGAAATTCCACAATTTTCTCAACCACAGATTTTTTTTTTTTAATCTTTAATTTGACCAATCATATCGACCTGTGACTAACGTTCCCATGAACATACCAAGAATCGCGACCTTTACATGACCAAGCATGGAGTTTTCTTTTTCGGCCCAGTGAGTAGCGAGGACGTAGGAGAGACGAAGCAGTTGGTTGATTTTAGGCTCAAGGTTTTCCCACTCCTAACCATTATACCACTCAACCTCTTAAATAAGATAAAAATGAAGTCGTGAGAGTTGATTAGATGGTGACAAAGCCTCTAAGACTGGCTCCAACGTGACTGCCGCTGAGTTGATTTGGGACCTCTGCGGATTCAGTGTTGTAGCCCTTCAGACTCAGACAAGGATAGTCATAAAAATTCATTCGAACGTACAGGAGAGCAAGAATCTAATCTCATTTGTACCACTAAATCATCAGTGTCACAAACCCATGCATGGGAAGAATGAATAATATAATGCTGCATGCGTGCCACATTAAGGCCTATCGGTGATGCCAAACACAATTTAGGAGAGCACCGATGCTGATAGCTTGATCAATGGATGCAAACATCTTCACGTGCTCCTGGGACACATCTCTCATCTCCATTATATTCTCAATCTATCCCCAGCTCACATCCATACCATACCCTCGTTTATTATCATCAGCTGCATCGTGCCTGGGAAAACGATTTGGAGGGTGGACATAATCCCCGAGATTGCACAATATCCCAACCATGGTTTCTGGGGCATAAAGTTAAGTGGGTGGGGCAAGCGTACTTCTGTTGGTACCCTCTGGTGGGCGTCACCATCACCGCCTCCATCCTAAGAGTAAGAGCAACCACCAGTAGCCCCTGGGCCCCGCCATCATGCCTCCGCTGGCCACCACCTCCCTCTCCCCCCTACTGCTTCCCCATTGCCCCCGCATCCATCCCACGTTTTGCACACAAAAAAAAAAAGGAGCAAAATATCCCATCTCATTTATGATTGATAAAGTTGTTAAATATCGCATCGACGTGTCACGAGTAGAGAGCTTGGGTGAGTTTTTTTAACCCTTTGTCCCCAGGAGGGAAGTAAATGAGGGAAACTAGGAGGGGAGTTAAGGGCCTGTGGGTTTGGAAGGGGTCATGCATAGGTGGGCCTGGTGGTGCCCGAAACCCTAGTACTTGCAATACAGGTCAAATTTGGAGCTTTCGCCAATCAATCACAATGGGCCACCCGTCCTTGTTTTGTTTCCCCCTCTCCATTTAGCTCTCTGCCGCCGTCTTCTCCGTGTTTTTTAATGATCATCTTAACCAGTCAAAATTCTCATTAATTACTCTACTGTAGTTGAGAGAAAGATACTCCAAAAAATCACAATAAAGATAGAGAATAGTACCCAGGCAGCCTGGGAAGGCGGAAAAAGAAGAAGACGCAAATGGATCACAATCAAGGCCACGTGTACATGTAGGTAGCCATGGAGGAACGCGCAGAGAGATGATCCTGTTCAAGGGTTTGTTGGCCACCTTCCATTCCATCCACTTACAGTCGTGCAACTTCATTTGTCTAAAGTTGGTTTATATCACTTATTATTTGGGGAAAAAAAACCTGATATAAATAGTAAAAAAAAAAAGGTTTAAATTATAAGAATTAAGATTAATTAAAACCATGCAAATCCTACGAATAATAGCCAGTCCTTTTGCATCCTAGCTATTCAACAGCTACACCAAATAGAGTGAGGTCCATTGGCGGGGCAAAATAACAATGAGATTTGCCGGCCGGTGGGTTATTGGAGATTTCAATCATTATAGGGTTGATTTTAATAATTTCTTGAATCTCAAGCCCCTGGCCTCATATTCTCTCTGTGTATACACACAAACACACACACATATATACATTGCTATTCATGATTCGTGAGCTTCAAGTTCAACGCCTTGCGTTTGCAGCATTGTGAAAGTCAGTGTGAGTCTTTATGGGTCAAATTTGAATGCCTAATGGTGTGTTGGGATGTTACCTTAGAACCAATGATAAGCGCCGAATGTTACCAGCACTGTAGCAGTGTAGGAAGTTGGAAATTGGATGCAGGAAGAGGTGGAAGCAGCTCAGACGAGGTCGTTAAATGCAGGCACGAGCATGAATGGATGGATGGGTGCACTGTGCACATGCACATGCACGCACAGCCTCTAATTCATTGGGCATTGCCTTCCCAGCTACTTATGAATCCTCATCATCAACACTACTCCGTAAAACCCCGAATTCAATTGTGGGAAGGGCCTACCACATGCTCCCTATTATGGTGATCGCATTCTTCAACCACCATTTCCCTACTCACTCTCCTTTTAATTTGTACGTACAGCTCACCTTCCCCCGACATCATCTCCCTTTATTTGTAATCTATACATATACAAACTTGTTACATGATATTTTCGCTCTATTTCAAAACAACCTAACTTTGCA